TTGATATAGTTCAACTTTGAAATAATATATCTCAAGATATGAATATTATTTTAAAGAGAAATTTTTTAAGGTAACTATATATATGTTGAGAATACATATGTTAAAGTTAAGATTAAAATGAGGAGAATTGAGTTATAGCATATGATTTTAGTTTTTTTCATTATATTAATTAATGTGAAAGTTTGAAGAGTATGAAAATGATTAAGTTTCGGTTCAGTTTAAGTATACCAATTTAAATCCGGACTTAGTATGATCACTAGAGTATTCTTTTATATTTGGATAAGTTATCTGATAGATGTGAGTATCTGAGTATTTTAGTAAGTATAATGAGCATAGTACTTAGTATATTTGTTTATATTTTTATGTAGTTGCAGATACAGCTATCAGTACAGCACTTACAGTTTTCAAAAGTTTTCAACAAGAAAAGGTGGGGACCCAGACTGGGTATTACATTGAGTATAATAGCTATTATCATGTTCGAGGTATGTATAAAGTTAAGTAAAGTATTAAGTTCGCTCAGTCAAGACTGGGTTCTGTGGGAGGCAACCCCCAGAATGTGATCACGTGAGAACCGGCCCAAGTTACCGGTAGTTGCAAAGTTCAAGTTAAAGTATCGGTTAGATACCGAAAGATTAAGCTTAGATACATACCAAAGATCATGATATTAATATTATTATTACTGTTTACTTTAGTATGGGTTTTTACGGAGTACAGTTGATTAGTACTCACGCCCCACTATTATCATTTTTTTTCAGGAATTAAAGACGGTGCGCAGGTGTGAGGAGCTGTGGTGGTCGTGGATGTGAATAAGTTTCTATTGAGAATTTTTAATAATGTTTCGATTTGTAAACCACGCTTGTAAGATTTCCGCTACGTTTCTTTAAGATTTGAACAAGTGTGATTTTAAGTGTGATTTTAAAGGTTGATTTATCAAGTTGATTGTATGAACTGTTAAGTTTTTTCTATATTTGTTCAATGTTTAAAATCTGTTTTATTTATGTCTAACTTAGTTGTTAGATAAAGTTTAAGTAAACAGATTTTTTTTAAAGTAGATAAGTTAGTAGCATCCCGAGTTAAGAAGGTTTCGAAAAATTTATAAGTATTTTCGAAATAAGTTGCGAAAAATTTACTCTGATAAGCGGGGTGTTACAGTTGGTATCAGAGCTAAAGTTCAAACGCTCTGTATACTAAAAGTTTGAGTTTCAGAAAGAAAAATTTCAGGAAAAACCGACCACACCACGCTCACACCTCGCCGACTACCAGGTAAGTGCTGTTAAAGTTTTTGCAAAAGTTTATTTTCTTAAATATACGCAAATTACTAAGTCTATGCTCAATAAGATTCAATTATCCGAACCTTATAAATCATAAAAAAATGCTCAGATCAGTAATATCAGATATGTCCTCATATCCGAAATAAGAATTATATTAGAATTCAAGTTGAATTATAGCTTATCAAGTTGATAACTCGTTAAGAAATTGTGCTTTTCAAGAATTCCGTATTTATTTTCAGTTTAAATACTGATCAGATTCAAGTATACAGATGGCACACTGTAAAGTTTTACATGAGATATTCATTCAGATATAGTTGCTATTTTTGTGACTATAAATTTTTTTTCAAGTTCAGGAGATCAAGAAAGTTATCTGAACATTTTAAAGATAAAGACATCAAATTAAAGTTGAATTCTGACTCTAGAAATTGAATTATTTTAAGTATGTACGATGTACATAAATTAAAGATTCGAAGTAACGGTTTTTCAGTGTATAAGAGCCATAAGTCCGGGTTTATCATGGAGGTTTCAAATAAGAACCATAAGTCCGGATATACCATGGAGGATTGAAACTGAACCGTGCAAGTAAAGTTTAAGAAAGCAGTCAATCTTTAGAGTCAGAAATGAAAGTATACCGAGAA